GAAGAGCTGAGGGACAGCGCCCAGGCCCAGAGTTCAGGCCCCACAACCAGACGACCCCCCCCAAAAAAGTAATATGGGTGGTATCACAATCCCAGACCTCAAGCTCTGCTACAGAGTTAGAATAACAAAAACAAGTTCATACTGGCACAAAAATAGACGTGAAGATCAATGGAACAGACTAGAAGACCCAGAAATAAAATCAAATACCTACAGTTATCTGATACCTTATAAGGGAGCCACACATACACAGTGGAAAAATGATAGCCTCTTCAATAACTAGTGTTGATTAAACTGGACATCCATATGCAGAAAGCTGAAAGTGAATCCTTGTTTGTCACCATGCACAAATATCAACTCTAAGTGGATCAAAGACCTTAACATCAGACCTGAAACATTGAAATTACTAGAAAAGGAAATAGGAGAAACACTAGAATTCATAGACATAGGCAGAAACTTTTTGAAAGGAGTTCCATGGGCACAGAAGATAGAAAAGAGACTTGACAAATGGGATTACGTCAAACTAAAAAGTTTCTGCACAGCAAAAGTCATAGTTACTAAACTACAAAGACAGCCAGCAGACTGAGAGATCTTTATCAGCAGGATATCAGACAAAGGCCTAATATCTAAAATATACAAGGAGCTCAAGAAACTAATCTCTCCCAAAGCTAATAAACCAATTACTAAATGGGCAAAGGAGGTAAGGAGAGACTTCTCAGAACAAGAGGTCATAGCCATGAAGGAAATGGAAATCAAAACAACTCAGACTCCATTTCACCACAGTTACATTGGCCAACATTGTGAATTTGAACAACAGATGGTGTGGGGATGTAGGGAAAAAGGAACCCCATTTCACTGATGGTGGGAATGTAAACTAGTACAACCACTCTAGATAGCAGACCATATCATTCCTGGGCATCCACCCAAACATCACAAGCCAGGATAAAGACACTTGCACATCCATGTTCATTGCTGCACTGTTCACAATAGGCAAGTTGTAGAAACAGCAAGATGCCCTACAATAAATGAGTGGATCCAAAAACTGTGGTACCTATACACAATGGAATATTACACAGCCATTAGAAAGAGTAATATTATATAATTAGCAGGGATATGAATGGACCTAGAACAAATCATGTTAAGAGAGGTAAGCCAACCTCAGAAAGACAAACAGAATATGTTTCCTCTCATATACAGAAGCTAGATCTAAAATACAATAAATTATACAGGTCTCTAGGGATTCACACACAATGAGACCAAAGAACAACACTCTTAGTACAAGAACAGAAAGGTACAAAGTCTATGTGTACCTACTCACACAAAATAATATTTATTGAAACGAACTTCAGGAAATGAAAACAAGAGAAACAAGAGGTTATTTCTTTCCTTCTTTACATTTTTTTTTTTTTTGGTTGGTCGAGGGGCTTGAACTCAGGGCCTGAATGCTGTCCCTGAGCTCTACTACTTTGAGCAACAGTGTCAATATCATTTTCTAGTGGTTAATTGGATATAAGAATCTCAGGACTTTCCTGCCAGGGAAGTCTTTGAACTGCAATCCTCAGGTCTCAGCCTCCTGAGTAGTTAAGATTACAGGCATGAGCCATCAATGCCCAACTAAGAGGTTTCTTCTTTTTCACAGTTTTTTGTTTTTTTCCGTCGGTCGCAGGGCTTGAACTCTGGGCTTGGGCGCTGTTCCTGCGTTCTTCAGCTCAAAGCAAGCGCTCTACCACTTGAGCCACAGCACCACTTCCTGCAGTTTTTTTTCTTTCCTTTCTGTTTGTTTATATGTGTTTGGGGGTTTAAGGAGAGGTTCAGAAATGGAAGTACAAAGGATGAAACAAATGCAGCAATGGTACTCACTGGATACTATGCTGAAAATGAACTACACAACTTATGGGCAGGAATGGGAGGGAAAAACTGGGAGAGAACAAGGGAAGGGGTGACATTACCCAAAAAGAAATGTACTCCCGCCAGGTACCCATGGCTCTTGCCTGTAATTCTAGCTACTCAGAAGGTTGAGATCTGAGGATTGCAGTTCAAAGCCAACCTGTGCAGGAAAGTCCCTCTTATCTTCAAACAAACTACTCAGAAAAAGCCAGAAGTGGCACTGTGGCTCAAGTGGTAGAGCACTAGCCTTGAGCAAAGAAGCTAAGGAAGTGCCTTAGGCCCTAAGTTCAAGCCCCAGGACTAGCAAAAAGAGAGGGAGGGGCACTCTTTACCTAACTTATATAACTGTAATCCCTCTGTATATCACCTTTGTAATAATTTTAAAAATTAAAAAGAAGCCGGGCGCTGGTGGCTCACGCCTGTAATCCTAGCTACTCAGGAGGCTGAGATCTGAGGATCAGGGTTCAAAGCCAGCCCAGGCAGGAGAGACCGTGAGACTCCTATCTCCAATAAACCACCAGAAAACCGGAAGTATCGCTATAGCTCAAGTGGTAGAGCGCTCGCCTTGAGCTGAAGAGCTGAGTGACAGCGCCCAAGCCCAGAGTTCAAGCCCCACGGCCGACCAAAAAAAAAAAAAAATTAAAAAGAAAACATCTTGAAATTCTTTTTTTCTTTTTTTTTGGGGGGGTCCGGTCGTGGGGCCTGAACGCTATCCCTCAGCTCTTCAGCTCAAGGCTAGCGCTCTACCACTTGAGCCACAGCACCACTTCCGGCTTTTTTCTTTTTGCTTATGTGGTGCTGAGGAATCGAACCCCAGGCCTCATGCATGCAAGGCAAGCGCTCTACCACTGAGCCACCTTCCCAGCCCTGATCTTGAAATTCTAAAGTCAATTTAAACATAGTTCTGAGGCTATACTCTATGAAAAGTTCCAGAAAAATTATTATTCAAGGACTGGCATGGTGTCTCAGATCTGCAACTCCAGCTACTCAGAAGGTGAAGATCTGGAGGACTGCTGAAGCCCAGGCCAAGCCAAAACTTAGGGAGATATCATCTCAATCAGTGAGCCAGGCATGGTAGTATGTGCCTATGATTCCAGCTACAAAGGAAGCTGTAGTTAGAAAGATTATGGTCTGAGGATAGGGTGGGGTAGCACGGCTCAAGTAGTAGAATACCTTTCTAGCAAGAGTAAGGACCTCAATTCAAACTACAGTATCATTCATATATAATACATTATACAAATAATGTCATACATCATACTATATTATCATATATTATATGTCATATATTATCACTAGCATAATTAGTAAACATAGGTCACTTGTTTTATCTAGCAATAAGATGCAATTATGTCAAATAATATTAACATCATTGGATTATTCTAAAATGTATTGAGTTTTACTGTAAGAACTGAGAAAAATAAGCTTCTGTCTTCCAATAGAAACATTTTAATAAACTGTATGCTAGTGTTTATCCTGTAGAACTCAGTGAATTTTTATGAAAGGTATGTCTTCTTCAGCAATAAGAGATTGTGATTCCACTTATTGTTTCTCTTCCCTCCAACTTTAGTCTTTCCCTGATATATTTTGTTTTGTTCAGTTGTCTGTTTCAGTACTGTGGATCAAATCTAGAACCTGGAGCATGCTAGGCAAGGCATTCTACTGCTAAACTACATCCTTCCTCACCCCCATTTTCAGTGTCTTTCTTTCTTTTCTTTTCTTTCTTTTTCTTTTTTTGTCAGTCGTGGGGCTTGAACTCTGGGCCTGGGCAGCTCTTCAGCTCAAGGCAAGCGCTCTACCACTTGAGCCACAGCACCACTTCCAATTTTCTGGTGGTTTACTGGAGATAAGCGTCTCACAGACTTTCCTGCTGGGGCTGGCTTTGAACTTTGATCCTAAAATCTCAGCCTCCTCAGTGGCTAGGATTACAGGAGTGAGCCACCAGTGCCTGGCTTGACTATTTTTAATACACTAGAGTTTTGGTAAAGATGATCTATTTCTAAGAAGACTCATTATTCAGGACAAATGGTTTGAAAATGGACATACTTAGCAGCTACTGGTAAGTTAAAAGCTTCCACATGGGGCCTGGGAAGGTGGCTCAGTGGTAGAATGCTTGCCTTGCATGCATGAGGCCCTGGGTTCGCTTCCTCAGCACTACATAAGCAGAAAAAGCCAAAAATGGTGCTGTGGCTCTAGTGGTAGAGTACTAGCCTTGAGCTGAAGAATTAAGGAACAGCACCCAGGCCCAGAGTTCAGGCCCCATGACCAGCAAAAAAAAAAAAAAAACTTATAACAAGCAGAAAAGGTCAAAAGCTATGTACATATGACCATATAACATGATGTTAAATGAAATGAATCCCAAGACAGGAACACAAGTGGGTTTTTTTTTCCTATCTTGCTATTGTTTTTAATGTACTTATAATGTACTATGTGATTCTATTTCTTTTGTATGTTCTTACCCCATGGTATAACCCCAGTTTTCACTGTATCTAATTCCTGCATCTTGTATATACATTTTTATAATTTGGGGAGGGGAAGGGCTATAACAAAATGCTTAAATAAGGATACAGGTTGACCCACTGTAATAGTGAGATGTACAAGACACTGAAAATGAACTTTACAATTTCAGGTGGAGGGGGGATGGGGAGTAAGGAGTTTAGGAGGTAGGGAGGGAAGGGATGGTAAGGGAAAAATAAAGGAGGTAACAATGCTCGATAGCAAATGTTCTCATTACCCTACTCATGTAACTGTAACCCCTCTGTACAGTATTTTTACAATAAAAAATACATATAAAAAAAAACTTCCACAGCTTTTTGCTTGATTTAATTTTGGTGTGTATATGTACCATAAAAGAATGTAACAACTTGGGCTGGGAAGGTAGCTCAGCGGTAGAGTGCATGCCTTGCAAGCATGAGGCCCTGGGTTCAATTCCTCAGCACCACATAAACAGAAAAAGCCGGAAGTGGTGCTGTGGCTCCAGTGGTAGAGCGCTAGCCTTGAGCTGAAGAGCTGAGGGACAGTGCCCAGACCCAGAGTTCAGGCCCCATGACTGGCAAAAAAAAAAAAAAAAGAATGTAACAACTAAATTCTTCAGATTCCCAGAAAAATAAACTACTTACCCAACATGACTGGATGATGAAGGTGGTGGCAAGTCTGGTGTAAGGACATAAAGACTGTTGTTTTTTGGCAAGTGTAGTGATTTTAGGACCGTCTGAAAAAGGAAAACAAAAAATGAATATGCATTATCAATTTTTTTATAATGGTTGAAAATTTCACAGATTAACAGCTTGACCTTTCATCTTCTGATAATTTCCTAAATGACATAATGGAAAACTGCTGAATCCAATCTCTTGTTCCCCCCTAATATAAACTGAAAATTAGTATAAATGTGAAGATTAAAAATAAAAATACAAATTCATTGACAAGCTCACGAAGAAATACAAATAGATAAGAACACAATTTAGTTCATAATTTCTTCACTGAAGAAGTATACTCATGCAACTAACAAGATTTTATGGCAAAAAATCAAAACTGCAACGTTTCAGAAATTACTAAGTCAAGAAAGGATCACAGAAAAGCATTTTACCGCCAATAAATTTTTAGATAAGGAGCTGCAGCCTAAGAGGTTATACAAACTAGCAGGAATATTTACTAATTCAGATTTCATTTACTTTTTTGTTAAATTACCCTGCTTGTAGTTACAACCATATACAAACTAAATTCCCTTGGCACAAAAATCATATATATATTTCAAAACCCCAATTTGATGGTAAATAACTTTCTGGTGTACAGAAATATAGCAATATACATTAAGAAATATATTTTTACATCTTTATGGTCATACATTCAAGGAGTACACTTATTTAGAAATTTACTGAGCAACTTTCTCTATTCCAGGATTATTGTAGCCACTGAGAATATACAAGTGACTAGAACAGCCTAAAATTAAATTTATGATTTTATAGAGTGTACATTTCATATTTAAAAAGAATAAAAAGGAATAAAGTAAGTAACCTTTTAGGAATAAAGTAAGTAACCTTTGTAGCTGAGTTATAGAGGACATAATTTTAACTAAAGATAAAGCAAAAAAAGGTGGGGCTGGGAAGGTGGCTCAGTGGTAGAGTGCTTGCCTTGCATGCATGAGGCCCCTGGGTTTGATTCCTCAGCACCACATAAACAGAAAAAGCCGGAAGTGGCGCTATGGCTCAAGGGGTAGAGTCCTAGCCTTGAGCTGAAGAGCTGAGGGACAGTGCCCAGGCCCAGAGTTTAGGCCCCATGACCGGCAAAAAAAAAAAAAAGCAAGAAAAGGTGATAAAGAATTTTAGGTAAGAGTTTTTTGAAATTTTCACCTGGGTGGTTAGAGTCTATGACAAGAGCAAAGACTTGAAGATAATATAGAAATAATCCAAGAGAATATAAAGAGAACAAGAATTTGATGCAAGCTGGGAACCAATGGCTCATACCTGTAATCCTGGCTCCTCAGGAGCCTGAGATCTAAGGACCACATTTGAAATCTGCCTAATGCAGAAAAGGCCATGAGATTCTATCTCCAAGTATTCAGCAAAGAGCTAGATTAGAGGCATGGCTCAAGTAGGAGGGCACCAGCAATGAATGGAAAAGCTGAACAAAGGCTCTGAGTTCAAGTCCTAGTAACTGAGTTTCAGGTAGACCAGGAGCCAGTGGCTTACACCTGTAATCTGAGCTACTCAGAAGGCTGAGATCTGAGGATCATGTTGAGAATCTAGTGACACAAAAGAAAGGAGAAACTACAAGGAGTTTCCAGGGACCCAGGAAATTAGGAAAGTGATTGCTCTCACAGCAGAATAAGAGTGGCAAGGAGTTGGGAGCTAGACCCAGTGCCAGCTCTTTGGGATATGATCAGGATATCATTCCTAGAGATATCTTGGATCCTATATTTGTCTTAAAAAAAATCAGAGCAGTTTGTGGTGATCAGTTTTCACTAGAACTTACAACAAACACAAGACCACGATTTATCACATACAATAGACTTTGAAACTAAACCACTCTGAGTAGAGAAGAGTCTCATATACAATGTACTGAAATCAACTACTTGTCAACTGAAACTTCCATCCTGGTTGAGTGCAATCCTGGTTGCTATGTTGTATGCATGTGTAGACATGTTAAAATGAAAACTTCATTGTACAACTAATGTATACTGATTTTTAATAGAGTATAAAGAAATAATCAGTTATATGGCTAGAACATGGTTTGAATTATAAAGTGCTTGCCCAGCACACACCAGGCTCTGGGTTCGAACCCCAGTATCACAAAAATAAAGTAACTGAAAGTATTATATGTAACAAAGGCTGTTGAAATAGAAGAAAAATAGCTTAAAGAACATTTTCTAAATGACTGCCTTTCTTTTTACAAACCACTGAAAAATATGCATAAGTGTTTTTTTTGGGTGTGTGTGTGTCTGGGCATTGTCCCTCAGCTGTGTGTGTGTGTGTGTACTGAAAAATATGCATAAGTGTTTTTTTTGGGTGTGTGTGTGTGTGTGTGTGCATTGTCCCTCAGCTGTGTGTGTGTGTGTGTGTGTGTGTGTGTGTGTGTGTGTGGTGGGGCCTGAACTCTGGGCCTGGGCATTGTCCCTCAGGCCTGAACTCTGGGCCTGGGCATTGTCCCTCAGCTCTTCATCTCAAGGCTAGCACTCTATCACCTGAGCCACAGCATCACTTCCAGCTTTTTCTGCTCATGTGGTACTGAACAATCAAACCCAGGGCCTCATGCATACAAGGAGCACTGTACCACCAAGCCACCTTCCCAGACCCGGTATAAGTGTTTTGCAACCAGTTTCACAAAACTAATTATTAATAGAGCTATGTAAATGACTTTAGTATCTTGCTTTCTTTGTGTCAAGGTTGTTGATTTACTTAGTCAGTACTTTCCTCTTGAAATTTATGTATAAGTCAGAGCAGCCAGTGGTTGGGAATAAGTTTCAGTGGTACAATGCTTTCCTTGCATTTGAGAGGCCCTAGACTTCATTCCCAACATCATAAAAAAAAAGCTAACGAATCAGGACTGTTCTCTGTTTTTTATATTGTTGGTGAATCAAAAATAGGTTTCAAGGGCTGGGAAGGTGGCTCAGTGGTAGAGCGCTTGCCTTGCATGCTTGAGGCCCTGGGTTCAATTCCTCAGCACCACATAAGCAGAAGAAAAAAAAAATAGGTTTCAACTGTGTGTGTGTGTGTGTGTGTACACATGTGCAAGTCCTGGATTTTGACCTCTGAGTCTGTGTGGTGTGTGTGTGTGTGTGTGTGTGTGTGCGCGCGCGCGCACACACTACTCCTGGATTTTGACCTCTGAGTCTGTGCACTGTGTGTGTGTGTGTACACATGTGCTAGTCCTGGATTTTGACCTGAGTCTGTGCACTGTCCCTTAGTATCTTTGCTAAAGACTTGCTAGCACTCTACCACTTTCTGACTTTTCAGTGGTTAATTGGAGGTAAGAGTTTCATAGACTTTTCTGCCGAGGCTGCTTTTAAACTGTAATCCTCACATCTCAGACTCCTGAGCAATTAGAAGCCACCAAGTGCACAATTAGCTTAACATTTTTTTAATAGAGAGAAATAATATTAAATTGAGGAGGTATTCAAAAGACTATTTCATGACATGTGAAATTATATAAAAATCAAGTTTTGTGTCTATATGCAAAGTTACACTGGAATATAATTATGTTTGTTCTTTCACATATTGGCTATGGTTGCTTTCACTTATCATCAGCAGAACTGAGTAGCTAAAGCAGAGACTACATGGCACACAAAGCTTACTCATACCTAAACTTACAAATACCTCATTGAAATACTCATAGCAGTTCCACATATCAAATAAACTAACATATACAAGTAGAATTTATAAGCACAATTCTACAAGCAGCAACTCATAAAGAACTGAACTAAAAGTTTAAGATTGTAAATGAGTGTTAGTGGCTCATGCCTGTAATTCTATCTACTGAGCAGGCTGAGGCAGGAGGATTGCAGTTTAAAGCAGCCTGGGCAGAAAAGTCTGTGAAACTCTTATCTCCAGTTAACCATTAGAAAGTTAGAAGTGGAGCTGTGGCCTAAGTGATAGAACACTAGCCTTGAGCTTAAATTCTAAGGGACAGCACCCAGTTCCTAAGTCTAGGCCCTAACTTAATAACATGATAAAAAAAGTTTCAGTAAATTATTTTCTCCTCAAATACTGAAAACTTCACAGTTAATTCATTTCTTTCCCTCCATTCCTACTCTTTGTGTTTAAAAATAAGAAAGAAAAAAAAAAGAAAAAGAAAGAAAAGGCATGTGAAACATACTGGGTATCTAACAAGGCTAGCACTTTCTGCAAATTCTTAGAATTTATTCCAGGAACCTGCCACTATCTAAATAAATCAAAAACTATTGCTACCATTTAAATTTTCCAAGTTTTAAGTTTCCTATTCCCCACCCCTCTCCCCTCTCTCTCTTTCTCTTTCCAGCTTTTTCTGTTTATGAGGTACTAAGCAATCAAACCCAGGGCTTCATGAATGCTAGGCAACTACTCTACCACTAAGCCACATTCTCAGCCCATTCTATTATTATCTCTGCTCCATAATTAATACTTGGCATCATACTATGTGTAACTTTCTCAAGCCAGTTGTGGTCCAATAATTTTTTTTTCAGGACATTCAGTGATACCCTAACAGTTTGAAGGGGGGAAGGGGGGACAAATGCTATCAAAAGGAGTACAAATTAACTAGAAACAAGAAAAACATGGCACACAGTGTTTTTACTTACTTATATCTAATCATTTAAACTATTAGTTTAGCCTGGAAATATTTTAGCTTTAAACACATTGTTTGGGATTCAACTAAATCAAGTGAGTGTTGGTCACATTAACATCTGACTCATATGTAACAACTTGTATATATCATTTAGTCAATTGCCTAACTGAATTTTCTTTTTTTTGTTTTGTTTCAAGAAACTCACACTGTCTTCCACATCTCCAGTCTTCCATCCTTTTAAGAGCATTTTAGGCACAGGTATCTGAAGCTCACTTTCTAGGATCTGTTTAATCTCTCCTGTAGAAATAAGAAAACAGATGTTACTAACAAATAGTCAACATTTGTCTATAGAAGACAAGCATAAGTATTTGGGATACAATATATAGTCAATGATTCTTGTCTGATGAATAATTTTTTTTATTCAATACTCCAAACTTAAAATCTTCTTGTTCAAACAGTATGCTGCCCCTTCAAAGAACTCTGGCTTAAACATTAATTATAAGACTCCACAACTGATTTTTTCTACTTATATACTTTCATTAAGCTTTGCTTTTTAAGAGAAATTTCTGTGATTGAGAATTTGAACAGAAAAACTAACCAACTGACTTATATACCCAAGTTCAGTCTATGGTAGTAGCATATAAGTATAAAGATTGAGGCATTATGGTACAGGGAAAGCAGACTTTATAATGAAAATTTAGGTTAAAATTTTCTTTTTTAGAAATAGCTTGCCTATTCTTATTCCTACATCTAAAAAATGAAAAAAATAATACTATCTATCTACTCACAGACTATGAGGATGAAAGAAAATAACATACTTTAACCGAAAAACTAAAGTCAATACATATGATCTAGAAGACAGTTTCAATTGTGTTGAATAGAAAAACAATAAAAGGGGGAATATTGACAGTGCCCAGGGTCTGAGTTCAAGCCTCACAACAATAATTTGTTTTCAGCCGTTCTGGCTGGGGTGAAATGGAATTTCAAAGGTGTTTTAATTTGCATTTGCCTAATGATTAAAGTAAGCCACTTTTCCATCTATTGTCTATCTTTGAGAAATCTACTCAAATCATCAGTGTTTTTTTTTCTGAAAATGAGGTTTCACTATATTTTCCAAGCAACTTCTAGGTTCAAGTAATGCTTCTAACTCAGTCTGCCAAGTAGCTAGGACCACAAATACTATTGTTCCCAGCTGTTAGCTCACATCCTAGTGAGCTTATTTTTGTTGCTGTTTATATTTTTAAGTTCCTTATATATTTGGTATGTCACCACTGTCAGATACTTTGTAAATATTTTTTCCTTCTGGTAGGCTGTTTCTTCAGTATAGTCAGTAAGCTGTAAGTTCTAGTGTTCTATAGCAGAAGATGGTGACCGTAGTGTACAACATCTTATATATTTTATGAAGAACTTGAAGAAAGGAGTTTAGAAGGCTCCAAATACAACAAAATGGTGTTTAAAAAGATGGAGAAATTATCCTAATTTTTATCATTACACATTATATACATATATCAAAGCATCACATTGTACTCTGTAAATATGTATGGTTGTGAATAAGTTAAAATAAATATTCAAAAGTTTCAAGTGTAACTGGACACTGGTCGCCCACATCTGTAATCCAAGGTATTCAGGGGACTAAAATCTGAGGATCATGGTTTGTACCCAGACCAGGCAGCAAATCCATGAGACTCTTATTTCCACATAGCCATCAAAAAACAAGAAGTAAAGCTATGGCTCAAGTGGTAAAGCACTGGCCATGAGCAAAAAGTTTCAGGGACCACTCCCAGGTCCTTAGTTCAAGCCCCTGGACTGGCACAAAAACAACAAGAAGAGGAAGAAGAGAAGGAGGAGGAAGAAGAGTAGGAAAGAAGAAAGAAACAAGAAGAAAAAAGGAAAAGATAGAAAAAGGTAAGGGAAAGGAGAGGAGAGAAAGGGGAGGGGAGAGGAAGGGTCAAGGGAAGGGGAAGGAACAAAGGAAGGAAGGAGGGAAGAAGGGAGGGAGGGAGGGAGGGAAGGAAGGAAGCAAGCAAGCAAGCAAGGATAAGAAGAAGAAAAAAGAAGAGAAGGAAAAAGAAAAGAAAGAATTTAGGTATGAAATACTAAAATTGAAAAATCAAGTATTTCAAAACCAGAAACCCTAAAATATATTTTTCATTTTCATTCTTAAAAATATATTTTTAAGAATATTTAAATATTTAAGAATATTTAAATATTTAAAATATTCTTAAAATATATTTTTCATTTTCATTCTTAAAAAACAAAGATAAACAATAACAGCAATATTAGTCCCTTCTGGGGTTTTTTGGTTTGTTTTTTGGGTTTTTTTGGTAGATTGTGGGGCTTGAAATCTGGGCTTGGGCACTGTTCCTGCACTCTTCAGCTCAAGGCGAGTGCTCTACCACTTGAGCCACAGTGCCACTTCCGATTTTCTAGTGGTTTATTGGAGAGAAGAGTCTCATGGAGTTTCCTATCCAGGCTGACTTTGAACCGTGATCCTCAGATCTCAGTCTCCTGAGTAGCTAGGATTTCAGGCATGCGCCACCGGCACCCAGCTCCTTCTATTTTTAAATTATTCTCTATTCACCTGAGTTTCTTCGTCTGTGGTACTAACAACTCATCAGATTACTGTTAGTACTACATAACATCTCAAAACAAAAATATTTTGCACAATGTCTGATTCAAACAAAGAACTCAAAAAATACTGATTATCTTAAATTATGTCATTATTACAATTAATGACATAAAAACAAAATCTAACATGACACTAGTCAGGATAGGTTCTCAGTATATAGTAGCTTTTGTTTTTAGGTATTCAAAATAATTTAGGAGAAAAGTGCTATAAAGCAGCAAGTTCTAAGTATAGAATTCAATCTGTGGATCTGTCTAACTCCAAAGAACTTACCACAAGATGGCACTGTCACTACAGTATACTCCTTCCCCTCTTCCAAATTATTTGGAAAATTGTTTTAAAGATATGCACAGCATTAATACCAACTACTGAATACAATACTGCACTTAAAAATAAATTGAGATGGGCTGGGTGGCGAAGCCCTGGGTTCGATTCCTCAGTACCACATAAACAGAAAAAGCCAGAAGTGGTTCTGTGGCTTAAGTGGTAGTGTGCTAGCCTTGAGCAAAAAGAAGCTTAGGGACAGTGCCCAGGTCCTGAGTTCAAGCCCCAGGACTGGCAAAAAAAAAAAAAAAATTGAGATTCTTCAAAAAACTAAAATTAGAACTACCATATGAACCAGCAATCCCCCAAAAAATGAAATCAATATATAAAGGACACTTGTACTCACATGTTCATTGTAGCATTATTCATAATAGCTAATGATTAGAAAGACCCCAGGTATCTATCAACTGATGGATATATACAGAAAGTGATGTATACAAACAGCAAAATATTCAGCCATTAAGAATATGAAATCCTGCCGGGCGCTGGTGGCTCACGCCTGTAATCCTAGCTACTCAGGAGGCTGAGATCTGAGGATCGCGGTTCAAAGCCAGCCCGGGCAGGAGAGACCGTGAGACTCCTATCTCCAATAAACCACCAGAAAACCGGAAGTGGCGCTGTGGCTCAAGTGGTAGAGCGCTCGCCTTGAGCTGAAGAGCTGAGGGACAGCGCCCAGGCCCAGAGTTCAAGCCCCACGACCGAAAAAAAAAAAAAAAAAAAAAGAATATGAAATCCTATCATTTATGTTGAATGGAACTGAAGATCAGTATGTTAAACAAAATAAGCCAACATCTTTTTATGTACAACATACTCTCACTCGTGTATAAAATCTTAAACAAAAGCTGACCTCACAATATAATAGTAGTTACCAGAGACTGGAGATAATAGAAGGGGAAGAAGAATAAGAAAAGTATCACTAATAGGTATTAAGCTATAGCTAGAAAGGAGGAACACTAGGAAAACTCTAATATACTTCAAAAGATAGCAAAAATACTTCTTAAAGTTTTGTTTTGTGACAAGTCGTTTAAGTAAGGATACAGGTTGACCTGTTACAACAATGAGAAGTACAAGTTGTTATGTCGAAAACGAACTTTACAACTTTGGGGGGGGGCGGAGAGGATTGGGTTGGTGGGGGCAGGGGAAGGATGGGAAGGGATAGGAAGGGGAAACAAAGGAGGAGGCTACAATGCTTGATAAGAAATGTACTCATTATCTTGCCCATGTAATTGTAACCCCTATGTACAGTATTCTCACAATAAAAAATAAATAAAAATTAAAAAAAAAGAAATAAAATTTTTTTTTAAAGTTTTGTTTTGTTTTGGTCGGTTGAGGGGCTTGAACTCTGGGCCTGAGCACTGTCCCTCGGCTCTTCAGCTCAAGGCGAGAGCTCTACCGCTTGAGCCACAGCGCCACTTCTGGTTTTCTAGTGGTTTACTGGAGATAAGAATTTCACAGACTTTGATGCCTGGGCTGGCTTTGAACCATGATCCTCAGATCTCAGTCTCCTGAGTAGCTAGGATTACAGGTGTGAGCCACCAGTGCCGGGCTTCCTAAAAGTTTTTACCAGAAAAAAATGTTAGAGGAAACATGTATTTACCTTGATTGAAACATTACATGATATGTATATTAATGAAACATCCCATGGTACCCCATCAACAAACACTACCTTAGCCTATCAACATGTAAATTTTCTATGTCTTTATGTATCAAATTATTAATATTATTATTTTTATTATTATTACTTTATTATCGGTCAGGGGGCTTGAACTATGGGCCTGAGCGCTGTTCCTCAGCTCTTCAGCTCAAGGCTAGGCTCTACTACTTGAGCTACAGTGCCACTTCTGGTTTTCTGGTGGTTTATTGGAGATAAATGAATTTCACGGCCTTTCCTCCCCAGGCTGGCTTTGAACTGCAATCCTCAGACCTCAGCCTCCTGAGTAGCTATGATTACAGGCGTGGGCCACTGGCTCCCAGCAATTTTATTTTTTAATTAACTTAATTGAATTATGATTTATACATAAGATCACTTCAATTCTAATAATATATACTCTGGTATATGTTTAAGATGAACATTTCCCATGTTACAAATAGTTTGCTTACTCTGCTTTGAAACTAAGCCTGTTCACTCTAACCATGATCCTCCTGCTCACCCTAAAGATTAGTTTTGCTGTTGTCTTTTATGTCTATGTGGTAACATATACACACATAACTAGTTCCATTTTATTGCTAGATACTATTCCACTATAAAATGTGGCATTTTCTCAAATGGCTTTCAGTAATGCCAACCTTTCAATATTAATGCCATTTGTAATCTCCTTCCTTGAGTAGTGCTAGTACCAAGCAAAGT